ACCATTTAGTTCTTCTGGTCTCATAGTTGCATAGGCTGAGGATAGCATGATATACCAGTCCCTTGGACTAATTATTTCCATGTGTCTTTTGGTTTTCTTCATTCTTTGTTCTGTACGAGGAGAGACCCATCATTGCATCTAGATGACTGCTTGCAATCTTTGAAGATCCCAGTTGCTACTCACAGGGCATTACTTGTGGGAGACATCCTTTTTTGTCTATTTTGGCTTCTAGTACCTGTCAGTAATCCTTGGCATTGCTGGACTTGTAAATGCATCTACCATGTGTGTCTGTCTTCATATGTAGTTTTTCCCTGAGTGTGCCTCTGTGTCTATTCTGCTCTTTTTATAACTCAGAAGTGATTAGGTTTAGGACTCACCCTACTCTGGTATGATATAATTAACATAACAAAAGAAAACTCCTATTTCCAGACATGATCACATCCATAACTAGAAGAGCCAAAACTTCAATACATATTTTAAGTGGACACAGTTCAATCGACAACAATGCCTAATTGTAAATGCTCAGTTGTTGTGTTTAGGTGCAATTGAGTCAGCTGCAACTCATAGTGACCCCATATACAACAGAAGGAAACACTGTCCATTCATGTGCCATCCTCACAATTCCTGCTGTGCTTGAGCCCATTGTTGCAGCCACTGTGTCAATCCATCTTGTCCTTTTCACTGACCCTCTACTTTACCAAACATGGTATCTTTCTCCAGGGACTGATCCCTTCTGACAACATGACAGTAAGTGGTAGTTATTATGATTTTTATTAATTGGTATTCATTGGCTTATCACAAGGAAAAAGCTTTTCTCCTTTGCTCCATTCATGACCCCAAAACATCCATCATCTCAGGAGAAAGCTTTGGCATTTTCCAATCCTAAGCAGAATAGAAGAGGCTTCTTTTACAGGTTAGTTCTTCCTTCTTTTGAAAAAATTGGAGAGATAGTTAGCATTGAAAACAACTCAAGTCAGAGCACTGGGGAAATAGCCATTTTGGGGTAGACTCCCATGTATGAGGGAGCCCTGGTGGTGCAAATGGTTAAGCACTTGGCTGCTAGACTAAAGGTTGACAGTTTGAACCCACTCAGAGCTCCATGGGAGAAAGGCCTGGCTATCTGCCCCTGTAATGATTAAACCAAAAAAACCAAACTCACTGCCATCAAGTCAATTCAACTCATAGCAATCCCTCCTTGGGTTCCCAAGGTGGTATCTCTATGGAAGTAGATTGCTCAATCTTCCTTCTGAGGAGTGACTGGTGGATTTGAACTGCCAGCCTTCTGGTACAGCCTAGAAAACCCTACGGGGCAGTTCTATTCTGTCATATAGGGTCATTGTGCATTGAAATACACTTGACGGTACCTAACAACAACACTTGTCTGAATGTTGTGCAGACTAAGTTATCAATCACCAGTCACTCCTTTCAGATGGGTTCTAGAAGGCCTTGCCTCTCCACCCTGGAGTTGGTGGGGTCTCTCCACATCATAAGGCTTGTGCCATTTCCAGGTGTGGTCTGACTCATTCTTGCCTGAATATGCTCTTCACACTTAGTGAAATCAGCCCTAGCTTCCCCAAAGCACCCAAAATGGGAAAGCCACTGAGAAAGTCCAGTTAAACACTGTTTTCCAGATTCCATGTTCCATCAGCAGCTCAGCTGCCCTTCCCAGTGGGTGCAGCCACCAAATGGACAAAGACACTTCATAGCACATGTTTTTATCTTGCTGGGGTTTGGCAACTCCCCTGGCTCACACCCCAAGGTCAGCTTTGTTTCTGTATGAGGTTGAGGTCTGCTTCCAAGTGATTCTTGAGCATTTTCAGAGCAGAGTTAAAGGTCTAAATCCTAGCTCCTTAGTTGTTTTCAGATAGCTAAGCTCTGGCACATGTGAGTTTTCTCCATCCTTGACTAAGAATCACCACAGTAAGATCATTGGCTGTAGTTGTCAAAACTACCTGAACAGTTCTTGCATCTATGTGCAAGGAGGAGATGGCGTTTATCAAGTGAAGCCCTAGTCTATCAGAGAGATGACAAGCCCTGTGAGTTGAGCCAGCCTAGGATTCACCACAGGAATGGTTCCTTTTCCTTCAGCAGACAGTCCACTAACTGCTAATGAAGACAATGACATATATTTACTTTGCAATATTATTGTTGTTGTTGTTGTTAACTGTCATTGAGTCATCTCTGACTCATAGCGACCCTATGCACACCAGAACGAAACACCACCTGGTCCTGAGCCAGCTCCATGATTCTTGCTACACTTGAGCCCATCGCCACTGCTACCATATCAATCCACCTTGATGAGGGCCTTACCCTCTTTCATCACCCCTCCACCTTACCGAGTATGACATCCTTCTCCAAGGAATGGTCCCTTCTGACAGCATGACCAAAGTATGTGAGACAAAGTCTGGCCATTCTCGCCTCCAAGGAGCATTCTGGCTGCACTTCCTCCAGGACAAACCTGTTAGTTCTTTTAGCAGTCCACGGTACTTTCAGCATTCTTTGCCAACACCACAACTCAAAAGCAGCAACTTTTCTGCGATCTTCCTTATTCATTTTCCAGCTCTCACATGCAATAGAGGTGATTGAAAATACCGTGGCTTGTGTCAGGTGCACCTTAGTCCTCAAGGAGACATCTTTGCTCTTCAGCACTTGAAAGAGATTCTTCGCGTCCGATTAGCCCAGTGGTATATGTCGTCTGATGTACTGACTGCTGCTTCCGTTGGCGTCGATTGTAGAACCAAGCAATGTGAAGTCTTTGACAATTTCAATCTTTTCTACATTTATCGTGATGCTGCTTATAGGTCCAGTCGTGAGGATTTTTGTTTTCTTTATATTGAGACGTAATCCATACTGCAGACTATATTCTTCAATCTTCATCAGTAATTCAAGTCATCCTCACTTTCAGCAAGCAAAGTTGTGTCATCGGTGTATTGCAGGTTGTTAATGATTCTTCCTCCAATCTTGATGCCACGTTCTTCTTCATATAGTCCAGCTTCTCAGATTATTTGCTCAGCATACAGATTGAATAAGTATGGTAAAAGGATACAACCCTGACGCACTCCCTTCTTGACTTTAAACCATGCAGTGTTCCCTTTTTCTGTTTGAACAACAGCCTCCTGATCAATGTACAGGTTCCTCATGAGTACAATTAAGTGTCCTGGAATTCCCTTTCTTGTCAATGTTATCCACAATTTGTTATGATCCACACAATCAAATGCTTTTGCATAGTCAGTCAAACACAAGTAAACATGTTTC